ACAACGTATGTTTCGAAGAAAGGGTTGGTTTATGCTACCTACCACCAAACTGGCTGCTCAGGTCACAATTCACGAATTATGTACAGTACATTAAATTATAAAAGTAAGTACTTAAAGTGGAAGTAGCTACCACTACAATAATAATAATAATCATAAATGGCAACACGTTGCCTAAACTAAACTGTCTTGAAGTGTGTTTCACTAATAATGGCCAGTATTTTAAACATCTGGTGTAATTATTTTCATTGTTTTGTTGCCTCCAATAGATTTTGTTTTGTTTTTTTTTATTTGTCACAGACTACTTGATTAAAATACAAAAACCGTTAATATAACTGGTAACTTATTTTCAATCTTATGTTATAATAGCTCGTTGAAAAGAGAATTTAAAAATCTATCAAGTAATCTAAAAATCCAATATGGCGCCCATTTAACTTTAGGAAGTTGCTAAATGTTCCTCAAAAGTGGTCATCTTAAATTTTTTTTTAACATCAATTCTAAATTAAGCGTATCAAAGACAGTCACTTTTATATAAAACTTTTTTTTATATCTCTTATACTTTCGATGATATAAGACATTCAAGGAAATGACCAATTTTAGTTTTTTTGAATTTACGTCGAACCTATGCGACATTTTGAATTTGCATAAGGAAATTTTAAATAAGCATCCAAAACTGCAAAACATTGCCCATTTAACCAATTCTCTATCTTTAATAATAACAAAGTTACCCATGCAATCCCAACCGATTTGGGACACACTGTATAGTTAGAGGAAGTTAATGAAAAAACAGATGCCGTGACATGTATGGGGCCCAAGTCTAAATATGAAAATATCCTTACCTAGATTAAGGTTCGCAATCCCAATTCACGTTAAGATTAATTAATTAACTTAATGTCTCATGAATTTCATAAGATTTCCACACCTTTCGCAAAATTATTACCTGCCATGCTCACGACCAATGCAAAATGTGACATTTCTTCAATCCCAATATCCCATAATGGTACCAACTCACCTTTATTCACGCCCTGAAGGCGCATTCACTCAGACACTCCTATGGGTACATTCAACGAGAAATGGAACGTGACAAGGTCCCTGGTCTGAATCTGGGTTCGGGCATGGATATTTGTAACTGTATCGTGGGCTGGACTGCCTTGACTGAAATCCTGGCCACTTAAAAATAAAGTCCAAAAATAAATAAATAAATACACCTTCTGTTAATAATTGAAATGGCAAGATCTATTTTACACAAGTATTACCCTGTAACAATTTACGTTAATTAGCAACACAAAAAAATTTCTAGGGCCAACTCTTTTGAAACATAAAATGACGTTCCCTTTTCTCATAAGATCCTTAAGTAATTACTAAGTACTGAAAATTTTCGCCTGATTTTACTTCTCATGCATGACCTACCTTCCCACAGTATCTTCCATTGCATTAATTATTATATTATCTATACATTAAAGCAGCCGACGTTTAATTTAGATTTACATTTTCAGCCCCGTGCTCAAATTAGAACGTAAATAAATCAGCATTTAACGTCTACGCTTGAAATATTGCAAGTTCGGTTTGTATAGCACCAGAAAATTTGCGAGTTTCTCCTTTACACCATTTTTACGCCTCCTTTTTTAACTTCTTAATAATGGCTTGATTAAATATGAATTATATCGTGTTGGAACATTCTTTTTCACGTTTCAGTTTTATCAATAGAATCAGGCAGTTAAGGGTGATTAGAACAGTGATGAATGCAAGTAATTCAGCATCAGCAAATTGTATCGATTTCATGTTGGAGAATTGAAAGTACCTTGACGTGGTTATAAAGCGCAAAGGTATTTATAGGCATTTAGTCACTTACGGCATTATGACGCTCAACGGTATTAACGTGAAACTCAAAGGACTCGTCTATTACCGAGTTTCATGAAACTTGCAATTTTGTAATAAAACCCGCAATGTAATTACAGTAAAATGCAAAGTTGTAATCAATTTTAACTTACAAATTGCATAGAAACATTAATCACTTACACTTGGCATCAAAAGAATCGCACAATGGATTTTCCGTACGAACCATGCAAGGGAGCTAATTAGAATTGCTGTGTGGAGGGAGGTTGATTTTTTCGTCTAAAATTAAAAGCATCGGTACGTTCTACGGGATAGAATAAGTGATGCAAACAAATCGATGAACATTATTCACGATTTGATCCTGTTTTGAAGTCCCTATACGTTTTCTTCCATTGTAAGTCGGCCGTAGGATTACGTCCTATCGTTCGTTTCGGGGTTTATGCGAACACTTGGAATTGGTCTCTTTTCAAAAAGTGTAATCAAGTGTTAACGGCGATCAGTCAAAGTCTCATCACGCGCCGGACTCTTTGCCTTCTTCCCTTGAAGGGTGGCAGGCATCGATCGCACCTCCAGATTTATGACGTCGAGGCGTTGACCGCACTTTTGCGAAAACTATCCTCATCATAAATCCATATCATACAGCCTTTCGATTTATAGGGTGTAAACACGTTCGTGCAAGCGATTGATAACAAAACAACACGGTTCAATGTTGCGTTTATACGATAGAATTGCAGCAGATAAGGGAATTGATGGTCAAACGTTCCCCGTAATATTTTCATCTCAATGACAAAATATTGAATGGGGACTGCAGCTTAAGGGCATTATCGTAACGAAGCGTAAATTTGAGTATTTACCTATCTATATTTAAATTTTAACCGAAGTTAATGTCGATCATTAGGTTTATGTTGTATGCGATATGGCCATCATACAGTTCTGGTCCAGTATACCACAAAACTTTGAAAAATCTTCATCTTCTCGATACCGACGTTGCAACCTAATTCTCATGTCTATATCTCAAACGGTTTGAGCGTGAGAGCTGTGGTTTCATTTTTAATAGCGACCTTGTATATAGCTTGTCACAGCTGGTGGCCGCTTTTCCGTTTCAAAAATTTAGTTTTCAAATTGTATTTTGTTAAACATAGGAAAATTTACACATAATTATACTGCTTCATAGCGAACATGAACAAAAGTATGTCTAGCGATAACAAGAAACGTATTGGGGAAAGCGAGCGCGGTTTCCACGATCTCTTCGAACCTAAGAGTTTCGTTCCGTTCTGTTTAAAGCCGAGCACGTGACAAACATGCAGCTTTACTATTCGTTTAAAAAGGTTTTCATTTAGTTTCAGCAGTGATCACGTACAAATATTGGTATGTGAAAGAATCGATTCCGGTCGATATTCTTTTTGCTGCGTTGTCAGAAATATCCTCGCATACGTGTGAAGATTCGTAGTGCAATTTCGAGTGCGTCGTGGAGAAACGTTTAAACATAGGTATTCGGATTTGTGATAAATTGCGTGTTACCTGTAGTTTTATACAGGGTGTCTTAAATTGAGTAGGATACCATGGCTGCTTTGTTATTTTTATAATTACATATTCGGCTAAATTGGCAAAGTTGTGTAGTTTTTGATGGTAATGGATATTCCGATGCGATATTTTGAAAAAAATTAATGGTTTCGTAGATAATTCAAAAAAAGTGAAAATCGCAATAATTCCATGGCCGTGTCGATGGTAACTATGCGAGACAATAAACGAACGAATTTGGTGTCAATCATAATCAGCCATGGAATTATTTCCATAAGAAATACACATACAACAATGTAAGGTTGATTTCCAAATGAAATACTAAGTGTTTAGTATCACTGGTTTTGTAATTTTTTTCTCTATCGGGTGACGTAAAAATCCAATATGGCGTCTATTTAAAATAAGTAAGTTGATGTCAATATCTCGGAAACCGTCAATAAAAATTTTTTTTTCTACGTTCATTAAATTTATTCTATCCAATCTTGTAACTGGTATTTGAAACTTTTTTCGATAGCTTTCTTTATTACTAAAAAATTTGAACTTTTTAAAAATGGCGATTTTCACTTTTTTTGAATTATCTACGAAACGATTTATTTTTTTCAAGCGGAATATCCATTAGCATAAAAAACTACACAACTTTGCCAATTTAACCGAAGTATATTAATAAAAAAGATAGCCATGTTATCCTACTCAATTTAAGACATCCTGTATATTATATTGTTTCGGATCACTAACCGTAAGGGTTGGTTAAAAGCAAACCCTTTCAAATTGGATAGCGCCTTGTGCGATGATTAAAACATATACAAGGGTAATCGGCGGCGAATTTAAAGACAATTAATCAGTGCATTTAACAACAACAACCCCTTGTTCATAAATTGGGCAAATGTAATAGCTACACAGCGGAACATTCGCCTTTTATTGCTTTGGATAATCACGATCTCGAGTTTTGCCTTGGAACAATTGAAGCCACTTTGTTTGGATTCACGATTCAGATTAACCTTTCTTCCGCCAACCTTTGCATTCATAACGAGGATAATGTTACTAGAGTGGTGTAAAAAATAAACTCTGCTTATAGAAGCGATCTGTTTCCATATTTCTAAAGGAAGCTGCATTTTCCAAGGAGCGATAAGGCCAATTGTTACCAGAAGAGAATATTTCTCACGTCAATAACTGTTAGTTCCTAAAGGAATCGACCTATGGGAACCAAACAAAGGTTATTTTGTTTCGTTGATTGGAAAATTGCATTTAATTTTAGTGATACCATTCCTTTGGTCGGATTAAAATTTTGTTTACCATTCAGTATTTCACACAGGAGAATGTACGTGGTAAATACGAAGGATCAAATTTTGCATAGTCACATGTTTACGAGATATGTATTGCATTTGTTTGTATTTCTTTTTGTAAGCCAAATCGATATTTTAAGCCAATAACTTAGAAAAAATCTTGATCGCCTTTGTTGTACTTAATATATTCAATCAACTAACCAGAATCAAAACTGTACTAGGTACTTTATATCGGCTTCAAATGCTTATCTCCATACCGGGCTTCTAACCGAGATATAATTTGGTCAAAATCTTGCTGCTGGTGTTCTGGAAACGTACGCAAAACATCCAACGGATCTCCATGTAAAGCAACTATGAGGAAAGATGCCACCTCTTCCGCTGTTCGCTTATCGGCAGCAGCCTGCAACTGTCTCAAGTAGGTTGACAACGGTGATTTACTATAGATTATTGGTGGCATAACTCGTATCTTTTTGGTGGGAATACTCTCACACGGTTCGAGGATTCTTTGCACATCACTTTTTTTGGTTTCTTCGATCAAAACACGTCATTCTTCCCGCAAGGATTACGTCACATCCACCTTCGTTCTTTATGGTAGATGACTAGGGTTTCATGACGCCTCGATGTCTATCGAGATTTCTGGCATATTCGATACATTAATACCTAAATAGAATTCACAATACGTACCTAGTAACGAATACTTACGCATTTATTGCGCTTTTTAATGTCTCTTTTCAACTGTTTTATAATATTCGCAGCGTTGCGTTGTTAGTAAATATATGTGGCAACAGGGGCGGACTGGGTACTTACGGGCCAGGTGGAATTGCATAGGTTACGGGCCATTAAAGTATTACTGTAATGAAGATGGGAAGGGGGAGAACTCTGCGGTGCACCACAAACATTTTTTTAAATTGCAGCTGATAATTAAAAGTACATAATCCAAACGAGGCGCGTCGCCTATAATTGTGTTTCAGCACTTTCAAAATACTACAAAAAATGATAAATTCATTGTAAAACACTTACATAGAAACAGAATTTTTTAATGGAACAACGTAACATCAACCCCAATGAGAGAAACGTGTTAATAATTTATTAATACTGCAAGAAACTAAATACAGCACATAGTTATAAATTTCCGACGGGCCAATATGACCTACAGGCCAAGTGGCAATCGCCACCCGCCCCCCCCCGGGCCAGTCCGCCCCTGTGTGGCAATAGGAAATATTGTAGTAAAAAACCCTAATGAAACAAGTACAGGGGGTAGCATCCCCCTCAGATTATAATTCTTTTACTGTCGCCATATTCCGAAAAGAGTTCTGATCACTGGTAGCGTACTGCATTCCAGTGGCGTATCCAACTTACTTTTTTTATGGATCACCCCATATTTTATTGCTGATTTGGAAAGTACTTATTTTTGTGTGGAACATATTATACTTTAGCGATTTCGCTGTTATAACGTTTCTTCCAAGAAATATTGTTCAACTTTGAAAAATCATATACGGGCCGGCCAATGTGAAGTTATCCTCGTCAATTTTAAAAATTTTGTAATACCTATTGCGATCTTTTTGTCAAAACTAACAAAAAAACAAACGATAATACCCCTTTAGTGTCTGGATTTCTTATTGGGCCAGGCTGACATGTGGAACAGTTGATTCTTAAATGCCCACCTTCAGAGAAGTTATAACATTTTCAATTTCGGAATAATTGCGGAATTCCAATAATGGCGATTGTTAGACCTAAATTGAGTTAATCATTTGCGAGCGTCCAGCAGTGCGTTTTAAGTTGACACAACCGCAGTTTTTAAGCTTATTCATACATAAATAATCAACAAAAATTGTTTCTGGATCTGTAAGCGTAAATAACACTTTTTTTTTCATGTAGTAGGTTTTTTCGGAGCAATCCCCGTAGCATTTGTGCTAATCGACCTGCATATTTACACACAACTAAAATGGATGTTTACATTTTCACATCCACTTAACTTTAATTACATTAGTGAAGTAGATGGTTTATTAACAGATAATTGCTTATTATATTAATCTATTCCGACTGAAAGCCTATGTTTATCGCTAATAATTTAAAAACGCTACGACTACTGATACGATCAAGAATTAACACGGTCGGTGGCTATCGAGAATGAAGCTGCCCAAGAAATCATAAATATTCTCGACTGGACATTTACAAACACGATCAGGCCACAGGATACCTTTACCACATGTTCGATTCTCACACGGCAACTCGGATTTGAGCTTTAGCAGGAAAAAAGTTTTATTCCAATTTAATGCCGTGCGGAATAAGAAAAAAAAGCGACGAAAAGATCCCCCAATAGTTATAATTTACGCGATTGCACTTATAAAGCTAAAGACGAAGCCTTTTAATGTTATTTGTTTGTTAAAAACATTCTCGCGCAGTCAATGGGTTTCGTTACTTTTATTTAACGATTGTAGAACAATAAAGATTAGGGATGTAAAATGTAGCCTATCGCTAGCAATTTTTCATAAGGAAAATGTTATTGGTTTGTTGGAAGTTTTCTATGAATCCTAAATCCCATAAAATAGAATAGTTATTCCCCATTCATAGCCCATCTCAATATCAGACGGGAAAATCGTATCATAATGTAGATTACAAAATTAGTTTATAATTCGGGCGTTCACTTACTTGTGAAAAACAATTTCGATGTGATTACAGGGCTTCTAAGAGATGTGGGTGGTTTATTGAAAGCCGGCAATAACTGTATCTTTACGCTTTCCACATACGCCGCTTTTAGAATAACAATATTTGAAGGGACGTGACTATTTTGTGTTAATTCCGGATGTCGCTGTTTAAAATTCTATTTGAATTGCTAAGGTGGAATCCTTTATTTTAATTAAGTGGTCTGCTTCGCCTCTTCCTAATCTGTCGATAAAAAAAAAGCCACAGCACCACGACCCGCTTACATAATTTCTCTAACCGCTACAAAATTTGCATGCCGTCGCAATTAGATCTCTCTTAGAACTTTACGGGATTAGGCTCGTCTTATAATGTCAAAGGGGTTTGAAATGTTCAGCAAAACACGTTGATATAAAATTCCAACTGTGGGATAAAACTTTTGCGGCTCACTGTTGAGGGATTAATTTCCCCTTTTATGTAGTTGCCTGTAATTATAACTGCCATCCTATCGCATACGTATTATAATCGTTATATATGCGCTTTGATGCATGCGTTTGAGTATTTGAAATGATGCCCGATCGATCCGTGCAGTTAGTGTTCACTTCGATTGAAACCGTTACTTGGTGGATTAACTAAACCACCTCAATGAAAATGCATTAATTTAATCTGCCGTAGTTACATATTAAAATCCGCGACGAATGCAACGTTCTAGCGATTATCTTTTTTGCTCCCCCTTTTTTTGATGTCGGTCATCATGATAAACAGGGGATTTAGAATATCGTTTTTAAGGGTTCGCCAGATTTTACGTGAGAGTTCTTTATTGCTCTCAAAAGAGAACTTTACCGCCTATAGTTAAGAAATTGATAGTAATTACCTACCATTAGGATATAATCTGATGATCCCTTTTTTCCAATTCAGTTTGGGTGTGCATTTGTTTTTAAATTTACTCAAACAAATATAGATTCAGTTCATTTAAAAGGTAACCTTTTTTTTGCGAAGAGCATTATATGGGGTAGCTTTATCAGACGCTTAAATATGTTCACCCTTTCCATTTGTGAAACGTATCAGTAAATGTGACTGTGTGTGGTTGACTTGTACTTCCACGCACTTGATTGACATGTTATATTTTATATATTTTATATATTTTATACCTATATTTTATTTTATTTTATATTTATTTTATATATTTTATATATTAAATTAAACAAAAAATTCTGTCCAACCGTTCACTTTCTTAACAATATAATAGTAATTTAGAGGACTTCAAGTACTAGTAGTGAAAAAAATAGTATACAGGGTGTCTTAAATTGAATAGGACAACATGATGGCTATCTTTGTTATTATTATACTTACAGATCTGGTTACATTGGAAAAGTGGTATAGTTTTTGATGCTCATGGACAAGGCAAGGAATAATATGCACTTCAACATGTAGAAATATGCGCATATATATGCACAAAAATAGTGATAACTATGCATCAAATATGAATGATGTTCTTTTAAAATGCACAATTTTTCCACAAATTTTGGTATTTAAAACAATAGGTTGCAACAACTTCATAGTATATTTTTCCAAAAAAAATGCACAAAATATACCTAAAAACTAATTAATTTCAACTTAAACTAAATAACTCTTAATCTTTATTTTTTAAGGAACTAAAACAATGTATAATTAAATGTTTTTCGCAAAAGTTTCTTGCTTTGCAATTTTATAATAGACCAGAGACAAAAATTCTTTAGAAATAACTACACAGGGATCAAAAATGCTTGAATATGCTCTTGATAATATTTTATGCACAAGGGCACGAAATATGCAAAATATGCAAAAATTAATTGGGTTATTTGAACTCTGTTCAAGTTGATCAGCACAGATCCAAAAGCACACACACGGTATATTATTAATTTAAAACATGCATTTGCATAAAATCACTGCCTTGCTCATGGATATTCCGATCTGAGATTTTGAAAAAAATAAATCGTTTCCTAGATAATTGGAAAATTGTTAAAAAAATTCAATGTTTTAGTAACAAAGAGAGATATCAAAACAAGTTTCAAATAAAAGTTGCAAGATTCCATGGGATAAATTCAATGGGTGTAGAAATAGTTATTTGTACAACTAGTTAGTGATACTTTTTTAGATGACACTTTTAACACGTGTTATACACGAAATTTTTTTCCATAGTGATCCTTAACAATCCATAATTGAATAATATCATTGACAATCGCGATTTAATGTCGTTCAAAAATTGGGCTATTGTTCATAGACAGCACTAAACGTTATTGAAACCCATAGTAAAAATCGTGAAAAAAAGTACCACTTTCCATACGATTTTGTGACAAAAAAATTTCGATAATTTGATAACTATACAACAAAATTTTTTAAAATGGCGGAAACCGAGATATTGACATCAACTTCCTTATTTCAAATAGACACCATATTTTATTTTTACGCTACTCGATAGAGAAAAAAATTACAAAACCAGTGATACTAAACACCTTGCCTGGCGACTATGCGAGACGGAACGAATTTAGTTTCAATCACAATCGGTCATGGAATTATTGCCATAAGAAATACATTGTAATACATTGTTCGAGGCAAAAATGCAAAGTTGATTCTTATAAGGAAATTAGGAAGTTGATGCCAATATCTCGAAAACCGACATTTTGAAAAAGAATTTTCTACGTCCATTGAATTCATCCGATCTAATCTTGCAACTGTTATTTGAAACTTTTTTCAATAGCTGTCTTTGTTACTAAAATATTTAATTTAAAAAAAAAGTCGTTCTTCACTTTTTCCCAGTTATCTACGAAACGAATTATTTTTTTTCAAAATATCGCATCGGAATATCCACCAGAAACTACACAACTTTGCCAATTTAAACGAATCTGTAAGTATAAATACCATGTCGAAAGACCTTTCACATATAATGAGAAACACGTAAAATATACGAGAATAGATCTACACCACTGAGCAACCAAAACATCATTCGAACATAAAACAATAAAACTTTTTTTAACGCGCTAATCTCTAATGCGAATGCACAATATTTACTGAAAACGAAAATTACGCATACTTTAATGTCAATAACAAGTGCACTAGAGGGAATCTACCGTTTGCAGAGCCCATCGGGATTTCAGGAATAACTACCAATAAGTTAAGGGATAAAATGTTTTATGTAATCGTAAAATGCCAATTAAAAGGCAAATGGAAAGTATGCCCGCAATTTATTTTATTCAAACCTCTTCTAAATTAAAACTTATTCGAGCTTAAATTGGGAAAAATTTATTTAACAATTTTCCGGAAAGGCATTTTCCAAGTTTGAAAATATTTCGTAGTATAATCACGAAATTCAAAGGTCGAAACGATTAAGTTCGAATATCTTCTAATCTTTACCAACTGGAATAATTGCAAAGCGTTGCCGAATTAACAGATGTTATAAATTAATTCAATAACTCGGAAAATTTCGTTCGGAGTTTTTTCCCTTTAATTTTTTTTTTGTTCGTCGAATTTCCTTTCATACGTCGCGTCGCTTGTTATATTTCGGTATGAAAGGCGAATATAAAAGGGAGTGACGTTTTTATCATTCGAAGAACATCAAAGTTGATTTCGATAAGTTTAAAAAAAAGAATTTCGCCTTACAATCGGTAAAGTCAGCGTGTATTTACGAAATTTCCCGTATCGAACAGGAAACCTCGCACGACCACTGCAAATTTAATCAAACAAACCCATTTCATTTCATTCTGTCGATGGAAGGCTGTTTATTATTTCAGCGGCGCGGTCAGTGGTAATAATGCGAGCGCGCAACCCTGTTTATATAGGGGTTGCTGTTGATAGAAGTTGGGGGATGAACGTGGACGGCCTGAATCCGCGCCGTTCTCGGAATGCATAGCACACCGGGAAACTCTGCCACCAAATTCCACGTAAGGTTTTGCGGTACTGTAATTTCTGCGATTTATGTGCGTTCGCTCGTCTATAAATGCGCAATTTGTGGCCGCCGCCGCAGGGCTGTGGTAATGATTTACAAATACTCTCCGATTTTAGAAACTAATGACCATGTTATAATAACCCCGGGACAATTCGATTGCGATTTTTCTTTAATACCCTCCCCCGAAGCCACCAGACACACGCAAACATAAATTGCTAATTAGATGTAAAGAGAGTATCGCATTTTGAACACAACTTGGAAAGTTATTATGAGTTGTAATCTAGCTTTTAATTGAAAACTGTACCCTGTGTTGCGCTCAATTGTTTAATTACTGAAATTCCGTTAGGTACCTACTGATGAATGTTCCCTGTAACGTACAACTGATAGCAACTAATTTGTGTGAAATTGCACCGAAGTTAAACAAAGTTTCAGAGAACGTGCATTCTGTAGGGATGAAAATAGTTTGTTAAAATGTTTCCTGCCGTTGTCACGAACATACACCTACAATTCTGTATTGTTTTAACAATATTAAATGTTACAAATTGATCGTTTATGAAGTATGCGACATTTCTCTAGCATTCCTACAAACGGATTGAAAAAGAGCATTGTGTTAAAAAGTGATGCAACTTTTGAACTAGCGGCAATTTCAACTGTTGAAACTTGAAACTTTGACATATGCCTGGCGTCGCCGCCTCTCCCAGGATTTAGTCAACTGTCGTGAGGATGCGTCCTTGGTAGACACTATCAGGGACGTTTCTCCACTACTTTGCTGTCATCGCGCTGGCCCGCGACATATCATACTTGGATATAATGTAATTCGGATTGATCGGGATGGCAGAGGCGGTGGTATCTGTTTTTTTATAAGAGAAAACTTAAAATTTAAATCCATTAAAACGACCCTTCTGGATCATATTGAGGAGTTGTGGGTAAGGATCTACTTAAATAATAAAGTTGTTGTTGTAGGAGCCATATATCGGCCGACGAAAGGCAGTGGTACTCGATTTTTAGCAGCCATTGAGACGTCATTAGCTGATATGTCTGTGGAGTCCGATCAGTTATTTTGTCTTGGAGATTTTAACCTTAATTACTTGGATTATTCTAATTATCTTAGCATGAACCTGTTTTCTATACTGCGTTCGTTAAATCTCAAGCAGGTAGTAACTGAACCTACTCGAATTACGGCTAATAGCGCCACTCTTATTGATCTTGTCATTACTGATAATGATTGTGATGTTCTGAGCACTCAGGTTGTTGATATGCATACTCTTACTGATCATTTGTTAGTGGTTTGTCGAATTAACCTAATGTGCAGCACCCCACCAGCATTGGAAAGAACATATCGAGATTTTAAGCACTTTTACTATCAGTTATTTGACCGCGACTTAAGAGCTGTCAATTGGAACACAATTTACAATCTTCCTAGCATAGATGATAAAGTGGAATTTCTTACTGTAAATATTATACATTTACTAGATGTTCATGCTCCAGTGAAAACATCAAAATTTATAAAACCATTCGCTCCTTGGTTGACGGATACCTTGAGGATTATGATGTCATTAAGAAATAAAGCACTTCAACGCTTTAAACACAGTGGATGTCCTAGTCATTGGGATTATTATAAAACCCTGCGTAACCTAACAAACACTGCAGTTAAAGCTGAGAAGAAGGCGTATTTGGAATTTACGTTTAAGACCAAATCCCCAAAGACTGTATGGCACTCGTTGAGGAAAATGAATATTTGCGGTTCTTCTAGTAATATATCAATTCCACCTAATTTGAACGACGTTAATAAGATTAATGAATACTTCGTAGAATCGGTGAGGAGCGCATATGATAATATTGATATCATAAACAAATATGCCAATAACTGCTACCACAAGGACTCTACAAGGTTTTGCTTTACTTTAGTTGATGAGGTGATAATTGCTAAGATCTTAAGTAAAATGTCGTCCAAATCAAGTGGCTGTGATGGTATAAATGTTGATGTTTTAAAAATGTGTTGTCCATTTTTGTTACCTCATATAACTCACATAATTAATTCTTGTATGGAAAATTCGGTATATCCAACAGCTTGAGGGCAGGGTCATACCTGTTCCAAAAACTGCTCATGTTAAAAGTTTTAAAGATTTACGACCAATTACAATATTGCCTGCATTGTCAAAAGTCTTAGAGAAGGTACTAGAATACCAGTTACGGCAGTTTTTAAGTAAACATAGCATATTGCCATTGACTCAGTCAGGTTTTCGAGCGGGATATAGTTGTGCAACCGCACTATGTAGTATAGTTGATGATATCGTTACCGAAACTGATTGTGGAAAAATCACTATTCTGGTTCTACTTGATTATTCTAAGGCATTTGACATGTTAAGCCATCAAGTGCTCAATGCAATATTGAAATTCATCGGACTGGATTATAATGCTTTAAAGCTTATACGTAATTACCTGAGTGATAGATGCCGAAGAGTAACTCTAAATGGAGTGAACTCAGAGCTTACGACTGTGTCTAGAGGTGTTCCGCAAGGTTCCATATTAGGACCCTTGTTATACACAGTTTATACATTTAATTTATTGACAGGACTAAATCACTGTAAATACCATCTCTATGCGGACGATACCCAGTTGTATTACTCTTTTACAAGAACTGAACTTGAATCCTCTTTGGCATGTATCAATGAAGATCTAGAAAATGTACACAAGGCATCGGAAGAACATTCGTTAATAGTTAACCCTGCAAAATCGTATTTTATAGTGTTCGGTGATGACAACATTGGCATACACAATAAAATTGCATTAAAAATTGGCAATGACTCAATTCCATCGGTGAAGTGTGTAAAAAATGTTGGTGTGCTTATTGATTGTAAATTGAGATTTACCCAACACATCGACAACCTTATTGCTTCGGCTTACGGTCAATTGAGGAGTCTTTACTCAAGTCGTCATATTCTTGGTACCAAACACAAGGCTGTTCTCTGTGACTCGTTGGTTCTGTCGCGATTTAACTATTGCGATGTTTTGTATGGTCCATGTTTGTTAGCTAAAGACCGTGACAGAATTCAGCGAGTACAGAACTCGTGCTTACGTTTCGTGTTCGGTATCAGGAAATATGACAGAATTTCGCACACCTTACCTCGACTTGGTTGGTTGAATATGTTGGAAAGAAGGCAACTGCATGCTTCGTCACTTTTTAGAAAAGTTTTAACTCATAAGATACCACCGTACCTGTACGATAAAATCACCTTCCGGACCGATGTGCATCATTTAAATCTGAGGCACAGGGGTTTAGCTTCCATCCCTATACACAATTTAGCAATGTTTCAACGCTCTTTTTTATTTAACATCTGCAAGTTTTGTAATAATTCGGTGTACAGACAGTTATTGCCCCTGCCCAAAGATGCCTTTAAACGGAAAATTAAAAAATTATTAATCAAAGAGCGAAATTTAACATAATTTTATTATTGTTTTGTTTTTTTGTTTTTGTTTTTCTTTCCTTTGTTGGTAGGTAGTTACTTAGTAGATTTGTGCTTGTTTTCAATCAAAATTGAACTGGTAATTGTTTTATTTCGTAGAATCTATGTGTATAAATATATTCTTTATGTGTCTAGGGGTACAGGGGGAAGAACAGGTAACCTACTGGTTTATCTGACCCTGAACGCTCTTTTTCACGGTTATGGTGTAGGAACCATTTTTTTTTCCTAATCAATAAAATCCATTATTATTATTATTGTCGGTGTTTCTTGTGAGAACTCAGGTCTAGCCTGGTTAACTAATCGCACGGATTAAAATCAAGTAACGATTAGTGTCTGTGTCTGGTGTAGTTATGTAGGGTCCAAAAAAAAAAAAATTAATTAATTAAAAATTCACACATTCACATTGGAAAGCTAGAGATAGTATGTAATTCATACTTACCAACATAGCTATTGAGGAAAGAGGAAAACAAAACAAAACAAAAAAAATCATTATAATAATTCCTGTAATTTTATTAAATGGAGTTTATTGTGTAAGTGTTTCTTTGGCTTTGCGTTTGGGTTGAATACGAGTGGGTTGTGATAACGTGGTGTGTTTATGTGAAGGAGTTTTATGTTTTTTAACTGTGCTAGGACGTGTAACTTTATTGGGTGGACCTGTCTTTGTAGTGCATGTTGCGTTAATTGTATTTATGGTGTTTCTTTGTTCTTGAGGTTGTATTTGTGTGGTTGCTTGGGTTTTTGGTGGAGATATTGCAGTATTTTGTGAGCCTGTGGTGCTGTTAAGGTTTTTGCGCTTCGGTTGTATAAGAGTGGGTTGTTTCTGAGAAGAAGAAGTTTTGTGTTTTTTAACTGTGCTAGGACGTGTAACTTTATTGGGTGGACCTGTCTTTGTAGCAGTGCCGTTCCGTAGAACGTCCCGGCCTGGTCATGCAATCATAATACCCGGCCCAAAAAATTGAAAATACGCCGTCACGGCCACCGACCCGGGCCCGTAGATCTTAGAAAGAAAACTGAGGTTGAGTTAGCATTAATTAGCGTTTAGAAAGCAGGTAAAGTGGGTAAAGCTAAAGATAGGATGGCTTGCAGCCTTGCACTTGCGTTGTGCAGTGAGAACAATGGTAGATTTGTCGGTGACTCCAAAAAACATTTTACCTCAGTCAGACTGAATAAACAGACTATAAAGTGCCTCGTTTATTATTTTTTCGTATGTGTTTCCCGGCCCTGCATTGTCCCGGCCCGGTCAACTACTGTCCTTTCATGACCTCGACGGGACGGTACTGCTTTGTAGTGCATGTTGCGTTAATTGTATTTATGGTGTTTCTTTGTTCTTGAGGTTGTATTTGTGAGGTTGCTTGGGTTTTTGGTGGAGATATTACAGTATGTTGTGAGCCTGTAATTCTGTTAAGGTTTTCGCGTTTCGGTTGAATACGAGTGGGTTGTGATAACGTGGTGTGTTTCTGTGAAGAAGGAGTTTTGTGTTTTTTAACTGTGCTAGGACGTGTAACTTTATTGGGTGGACTTGTCTTTGTAGTGCAAGTTGCGTTACTTGTATTTATGGTGTTTCTTTGTTCTTGAGGTTGTATTTGTGTTGTTGCTTGGATTATTGGTGGAGACATTACGGTATTTTGTGAGCCTCTAGTGCTGTTAAGGTTGCTGCGTTTGGGTTGAGTACGAGTGGGTTGTGATAACGTGGCGTGTTTCTGAGAAGAAAGACTATTGTGTTTTTTAGATGTGCTAAGCCGTGTAACTTTATTGGGCGAGGGCGTCTTTGTAGTGCGTTTTGTGTTACTTGTATTTATTGCGTTTGTTTGTTCAGGAAGTTGTGTTTGTGTGGTTGGTTGAGTTAAGGGTGGAGATATTACAGTATGTTGTGTGTCATGTTGTGAGTCTAAAGTGCTGTTTAGGCTTTTGAGTTTGGGTTGTATACTAATGGGTCGTGATAATGTGGTTTGCTTCAGAGGTGAATCTTTGATTGTAGTATATGTTGTATCATTTGTTGTACTTGTTTGTTCGGTAAGTTGTATTTGTGTGTTTGTTTGGGTTAGAGGTGGAGATATTACAGTATGTTGTGTACCTTGTTGTGAGGGAGTGCTGTTGTTTACATGTATACGTTGTGGATCATTTCTGTATGTAGTATCTTGTGTTATGTTTAGAAATTTACGAACAATATGGCATGTGTTGATAATGACTGCTTTTTGTAAATTTTTGTATGTGTTTTTGTCTAAACCTAATAGTTGTAAATTGTGGTGTATTGTCTTTGGTATAACTCCGGTAGCACTAAGAATAATGGGAACTAGGTATAACAGTAGATTTCATTCTCCATTGCGT